TATCTCTGGAATCTAAAAAATGTAAACACATGGGATCATTTTCCTTCCTTATCTAACTGGGAAATGAGTATAAAGTGGGACCACAAGATACAGGCATAATTGGGGCATGGACCTTGTCCTTAATTTACAATGACTGCATTTTGGATCTTGCTTTTGCATAGACTTTGATTAATTGGCTATATTTTCAATTGGTTCTCCTGCAGATGAATAATAGATTTTTAAAAAGTCTTCCAAATATTGAATTACATAATTTTTTCCCAACAACATGATACAGAGAAATAAATGTTCAGGATAAAACCAGACAGAATCTAATCCTTTGGCATCAGAAGGAGCTCAAGAAGGAAAGTACAAGGGCAAGTTTTGCTATACAGCACTGAGCGCACATGATGGAAAAAACTGAAAATTAAGAGAAGCACAAAATCAGCTTGTTTTTGTATGTGAATCAAAGTAATTTTATATTCAGCTGATTTTTAGCATTTGTAAATGGAAATAGCTCAAGTTCTACAATAAATGCCAACAAATCTTGGAAAATTGTCCATATCTTGAGTCTTTGTCCAGATTTTTTTCATTTCTAAGTGTCCCTGAGTCAAATGGTCCATATGTTGTGGTGTCTATGTTTTGGGGTCTCATTGTACTGCAATGAAGCTAGGGTTCTGATATTACTGAATGAATGAATGAACAGAAAACTTTATTTGCCACTTTTCAGCGTTCACAAGGGATAACCAGAACTCCCGTACTGTATTTTCTTCTTTTTAGAATATTTCAAATACAGGATACTGCTGCAAAAAAATTCCTTTGGCCAAAGACGCACAGTATAATTATAATAAATGCTGAGAACATTTAAACCCCAGTAATTGTATTAATTAATTCAGTGGAATCCAACCTGAATCTCAAACATTGTCCTGAAGGTTCAGTTGGTCTAAAGGTCACACTTTCCAAAATTGCACTTGGAGCCAGTCTTCCAGAAGCTGGGGCATCAGAGGTTTCAAAAAAGGTGTAGCCTCCTGCAAATAAGACACATGATATATGCAAATTTTGTAATGATATGCACACATAGCATAATTAATAAAAAAAGGCACCTTGCTCATCATTACTGGCATCCAGATTAGGACCACCTCTCCAGTTGAAATTTGCACCAATGGAAGGAATCCACTCATGTCTGCTGTTGTTGGGATTTCTCCATTCGCATAATCTCACTCCTCCCCCTTTGCCAAAATCGCAGTTTCCATCAGTTGCTATTCAAAAAAAGCCAAATAAAAAACAAATGCTTGATGAGTGAATGCTGTATATGCAAGTGTCAACTATGGTCACTCACGAATGGCGCCTATCACTGCTGAGTCTCCTTGGTTAGGAGATATGGAATTCTCTTCATCAGTTTGCCTGGCTTTGCGATTTGCAGGACTTATTCTAGTCAAGTCCACAACCTGAAGCACAACCAATATGATATGAAAAAATATGATATAATTTTGAAGAAGTGTGAAAGTGTACCGTCAAGCTGCTGTGAGTTGGACCTGCTGAAACACTGGAAGATCCCGTCACTGGAGCCTCAACAGCAGCATCAAATTCTCCAGAAAAGCATACATTATTAGTACTAAAGAACGCGGTAATCAACAGCAACAATCCAACACCAGTTGCCATGATTTTTGTGGGCTTTTTGATCACTTCACCATTTGTCTGCATGATGGCAAAGAAACATGGAGAAAAGGTTGATGAGACACTGAACATTTTTCCAAGTCTAAAACATCATGAACCATATTATGACTCACTATATACATTATATGCAATGAAATTCAATATGTTGCAAAGTCATACATGTTATGGAATAGTCACTTCATAATGTATATACAGTCGAACCTCGTTAAACCGCCAACGTTTGTCCAGGAAAAATTTGGCGGTTTAACGGGGGTGGCGGTTTATCGGGGTAGGACTAAGTGGCAACCCCAATTTTTTTGCCAAGCCAAAAACCCAAACCAAAGCCCAGCAGTAAAAAGCGTTTGACCCGCTGGTCACAACAGAAAAAAATGCACCCCTTGATAAGAAAAACAGTTCAATCTGAGTGTAAAAAACTCGCAAATTTTTTAAATGAAAATTTAAAGAAATGATAATATGGGTGCAATTCTTGGGCACTAATTATTTGAGATCTGTGGTAATTTTATATTACTGTACAAATTTTATAATGTTTCAATGGGTGTCTTCTGTGCACAGTATCCATAAAATTATCTGGAAAATATACAGATTGGAACCACATAATATTTTGTTTTTTATTACTATACTCATTTTTAAAGATCTATTTTGTTTAGCAGCTGTCACAAGCCAAAAATTGAAGGGCTGCTGTATGTCTGATCCAGTCACACTGTAGACTAGCTTGGTCTTTTGTGTAGGGGTGGGGGATTTAAATTGTAAAATTATTTTTTTTCTTTCTTTAGCATACTAGATAATATGCACAGTTTTGCATATTTTGCATCTCATCAAAAAACACTCTACTTCTGAACTGCACAGGACTACAAGAGTGAAGAGACATTTTTATGAAAAGGCTGTTTACAAATGATGAGTGCATAAAATAAATGAGTGAAGAAAAACAATAAACATATTTTACACATAAATGTAAAATCCATCATAAAATTGCATTGATTAGCAGCAGGCTTTTCAATTGAAAGAGTGGTTGATTCCATCATAAAGCCTAATTCCAAATTATTCTATTTTTTTCCAGGGAAACTTTTTTTTTATGAAGACCAGTAAATTTATGTGAATTGAGGAAGTTAGACATTTTAGGGTCAAAATTTATCTGAAGAAGGACACTGCTATTTTATCCAGCAGCTGGGGATGAAAAAAAATGCAGGGTCTGAGGACCAGACAAAATATTCTCTTGTCTAGTTCTGCTGTGAACACTGTAGAATAGTTCTTTGGGTGATCAAACTGGTGGTCAGTTGGACTGTCTTTGAATGATGATTTTGTTGGGAGAAATCATTGGCGGTTTATAGAGGGAAAAATGAAGGGCTCTAGGCAATTTGTGACACAAAAAACCTTGGCGGATGGCGGATGGCGGTCTATCGAGGTTTCCCCATCCATTTAGTATTAGGCTAATTTGTTTCAGATGAAATTTTGGCGTTAAGTGAGGGTGGCGGTTTATCGGGGGGCGGTTTAACGGGGTTTAACTGTATATGCAGATGAATTCTCCCATGTTTAAAGTAATGTGCAGTATTCAAGTGTGATAAAAAATATACAATTATCCAATGGGAACTGATACATGAGGTATATCTAAACCCAAGTCATTGATCCACCTCCATAAGATGAGAAGAACTGATTGTAACTGACTGAAACTTCTCTTATAACCCTTGTAAAATNTGTGATAAAAAATATACAATTATCCAATGGGAACTGATACATGAGGTATATCTAAACCCAAGTCATTGATCCACCTCCATAAGATGAGAAGAACTGATTGTAACTGACTGAAACTTCTCTTATAACCCTTGTAAAATTGAAAACTGCTCTTGCTTACAGGTCTCACCTCATTCTGGAGCCTGAGAAGGTGATGAATTCAGCTTTTAAGCTCTTGATTATTTAGCTTCTCCAATTGAAATGCTGTAATGAATGAACAGAAAGCTTTATTTTTGCTTTTCAGAATTCACGAGGGTCAATCAACATTCCCACATCCAAACCCCCTCCCCACTGTAATGAGGAATATGGCATCCATACATTGAGTAAGTAATGCAGTGAGACCCCAGTATACAGACACCCAAAATATGTAGGCAACTCAAGCAGCTTAGGGACCATTAAAATGCAAAAATCAAACCCAACATCCAGAAACTGTCTCAAGGAGCCAAGACATAGGAATAGTTTCAATGTGAATTGAAAAATAAGAAAACAGATTTGCAACATTTTGATATCTTGGTTGAACTGAGCTTTTTATATTCACCAAAAAAAGACATTTCAAATTAACTTACTGTGCCTGTAATTCATATAAAAAAACAGACTGCTTTTGAGCTTCTTTTCTCAGAATTTTTTTCAATCATTGGTGCACATCATAGCAACACTTAGTCTTGTTTGTTAACTTTTTGAGCTCCTTTTGATGCCAAAAGATCAGATTCCATGTGATTTTCTTCTCCACAGTCTGTACCTGGAAGTTGTGGAAAATTATTGTTATTCTATTCCTTTTCCAGTTTTTCCTAATTTTGGTAAGCAAGATTAACAATTGAATACTGTGTGTTTGTATTAGTGTCTACAGTATTATTGTAAAATGTGATCTGGCAGCATGTGGACATTCCAGCATAGAAACAATGAGGTTGAAAGATCAATTATGTCCACATCTCAGGGTCCCACTGTATTTACCTTGCATAAAAAAATAACCTCTGGGTATTTATCACCAGAGAAAGAACATAAATTACCTTTTTGGACATATTGCAGGAACATGAGTTTTCAAATGCCTGATATGATGAACTAATCACTGATGCAAGCACACACACAAGCACAGGTGGACTCTCTCCACAACAAAATTCAAGAGACCAAAAGAAATTTCTTTCTAGATAAAATTTTCAACATGGGGATGAGAAAACCCTATGCACCTATATGGGACAAAAAATTTTTCTAAAGAGGATTTCGTTGTAGACAAGAGCGTTATTGTAATGTAGAGAGTCCACCTAGCTCCATCCAACACTGTGGTCATCATCACACTCATCCAGGAACCTTCGCTTTTGACTTGCCCCTTATTTCGAGTTTTTGAAAACACGCGTGCTGCGTATATAGCGACATCTAGATGAAAGCCTAACATCCAGATATAAAGAGGTCAAATAACAGACCAGTTATTATTTATTGCTGTACTCTGGTTCAGGATGAACGATGCACGAAGGTCTCCACTGTCTCGTCTCGTCTCTCTCTTTTGTTAATTTTAGGATGAAAATGGTACAAACAAATTCATCAAACTTGCTGAGCAGGGGGGTTGGGGGTTCAACGACTTTCCCGGCGGGTGCAACGAACCATGACTCAGATATGAGACCCCCGCGTGCTCAGTCTACAGAATATACCGTACATGAGTCAAACCCTCCCATTTGGATTTCCAGCAGTATCTATATAATATACTGGTGTACATTATACAGTACAGTACAGTACAGTACGATGCTTTGCGGCTCACTTCACCATCAGCAGCAGCAGCACCACCGAAATTCGCCGTTCAATATTAAGGGGTTCTCTGGCGAATTCACGCGAATCCCCGACATGCATATACGTGACAATTATATTTGCCCCCGATCCGCCGCCGACGACGACGACGACCAAGGGAACCCAGCAGGTGGTGACCTCATTTTGCCTCCCTATAGCTGCTGCCATTATTTAATGATCATTTTCCGTGAGTGTGCGATTTATAATACTGTACTTATTGCCTGATCAATCAATTTTTTCTTCTTTTTTCAGGCTCTGCGCAGGGATCAAGTAATTGATAAAGTTGGGTAATTTGGGGGTTCAAGTTTGTATATACAACTGGGCTCTCTCAACAGCAAAATTCATGGAACCAGGAAAAATTCTTTGTATGAAGAATTTTGTTGTAGAGAAAGCCTGTAACATGGTGTTGGAAACAGTAAATTGAATTTGTGGAAGTTTGACTATTTGGAAGTTTGACTATCTGGAAGTTTGACTATCTGGAAGTTTGACTACAGTGGCCCCCCTCCTAACAGACCTCCCGTGTAAGGGATTTTTGCTGAACAGACCAGCTCTGCAA